GTTTAAATATTACTATTTGATATGGAGTACATGAGTTCGGAAAAGACAATATGGAGCATGAGCTAAAGTTGATACGTAGTACTCCCTCCGTTTCAAAATTATCTTCATAGTTATTATTCACACGGTAACTCAAATTACTCTTAATCTTTTATTTTATATATCAAATTTTTATCAAACTTAAATTTTCTTGATCAACCTTTGTAACGGATTTAATGTAGTTTCTGAATATGTAAATTTAATTTACTAAAAATAATTTGAGTGTGAACAGGGATCAAGTTATTTTATCGTCAGAACCGAACTACGAAGATAAATATGGAACGGAGGGAGTATATAAAAGAATAATACTATATGATTTTTTAACAACTTTAACTCATACGACGCACTTAAAATGGAGCCACAGATTTGTTGTCTCAAACTTCCATTTTCTTGATTTGTCGTCTCAAACTTCCATTTTCTTGATTTGTTGTCTCAAACTTGCACCGGGTACAATACTTTCCAACAATGCCAGCCTTCTAGGTTCTCTTCGTCATCTTCGGTGAATAGACTGGCCTGGTACGCTCTGAGGGTTGATGCAGCAGCAGAGGCAACTGCGATGAATGGGAAACCCTAGCTTTTTTTGAATCCAGGTACGTAGTCGTAATAAACAGCTTCTTTATTCCATTTTCCAGAATGTGTAAACAGCTCTTTTTACCTTGAGCCCTTTTAAATACTCCGTATTGTATTTTGAAGCTTTAGAAAATGCTATTTGTAGATAGTTATGAGTAGTAATAATGCTTTGATTGATATTAGATGGTGAAATGCATTCTCTGTTTTCGAAAATGGGTTCCGTATTTACTATTAGTAGTAAACAACTTCTTTATTTCATATTCAAGAATGTGTATTCAACTCCTTTTACCATGAGTGTTTTAAATCTTGTATTTTGAAGCTTTAGAAATTGCTATTTGTAGATAGTTATGAGTGGTAATAATGCTTTGATTTATATTAGTTGGTGGAATGCATTCTTTGTTTTCGAAAAATGGGTTCCGTATTTACTACTAGTCGTAAACAACTTTCTTATTTCATACTCAAGAATGTGTAAACAACTCCTTTTACCATGAGTGTTTTAAATTTTGTAATTTGACGCTTTAGAAATTGCTATTTGGAGATTATGATCTACGAGTAGAAAGTGTTTTAAATCTTGATTTATGTCAGTTGGTGGAATGCATTCTCAGTTTTCGAAAAAAAGTGCTTAGTGTACACACCATGTACATAAGTTGTACATGATATAAAAACAAAAAAAAAGATATTATTGACTAAAACAGTATCAAAATTCCAAAATAAGACTCTCATGTTTTTATTCCCAAAATAGGACTAATTACTGCCATATTTTGGCATTACCAGACTTCAAGCATGGCAGTATTTTTTAAACATGTAGTAATTACTCCTATTTTGGGAATATAAAATATGACAGTCCTATTTTGGAATTTTCAAACTGTTTTAGTCTTATTTCGTGAACTTTCCCAAAAATAAACCCATTTCCCCCTCCCTCTTCTCTCTCGTTCTATCTCCCTTCTCTCTTCCCCCTCCCTTCTCTCTTCCCCCTCCCTTCTCTCTTTCCTCTTTACCCAATCCCTTTTAAAATTCTCAAAAAAAAAAATATGGGATGATCATCTTATCTTCTTCATCCTCTTTTTCCTTCTTCATCCTCTCTTTCTCTACCTTTTATATCAATTTTTTCTCATTATTTGCACAAAATCAGCTTATTCATCTTATTTCATCTATTTTTATTATTTTTCTAATTTTTTTCAAATTACATATAAGTTGATTACACATACAACTACATCATTCATTTGGATGTATATAGACAATTGCAATTTTTGTTCACTCAGACATTTTAAATTAATTACATCGACAACTACAATTGATTACACAGACAACTATTGTCTGTGAGCTGCACGACTATTATCTGTGTGGTGAATATTGTCTGTACACACAGACAAATAATTATCTGTGCAACATTAAAATATTGTCTGTGCACACAGACACTCTGCACAAATATAGATTGATTTGTAGGTTGGTGTCAGTGTCAAACAACTGTCAGTGTATTTTTTACACGAAAATTAATATCCGTGAACACAGACAAAAATTGTCTGTGTACACTGACAACTCCGTATCAATTGTCTGTGATCGACATTATGTGTACAAGTTGTGTACAACTTGTGTACCCCTAGCATTTCTGTTTCGAAAATGGGTTTGCATTAGTTTAATGAAACAATGGCAAAAATAACTCCTAAGGTTTTGATGGACCAAAATATGACCAATTTTAAACTTGACAAAAAAGTGACTTAACATCCGCATCTCTCTTTATTCGGCTTTTCTGCTCTGCATTCGATCTCCTTTGCTAATGCAGAACAAGCTACCAACTTCGTCCTCCTTCGCCGACACCTTCTCTCCCCATCAACAAATCGAACGCGGATGGGAAGAAGGATCGATCGATCTCCATCGCTCCTTCACCATCGAACTCACAGCAAGGATCGATCGATCTCCATCGCTCCTCCGATCCATCGTCGAAGTCACAGTCGGAAACCTATGCCTTCAGCAGTCTCCATCTACCTACCCCTCTGCTCGCCGGTCGTCGTCGCCTTGTCCAATCATACACCGATTTCTATTCCTTCTGTTTCTTCTGCATTCAGCGATGGCGGCGCGGCTAAATCTGGACGGCTAGGGTTTCGGGTGTTGGTGCAGCGGTTGGGGAAGGGGCTAGTGTTGGGAAGGTGGCTGAATAGGTAGTTGGCCGTTGTGAAGGGTGTTGGGAATGGGGCAGTGACAGGGGAGGGGAGGGACTGGGCTAGCTAGGGAGGGTGCAGGCAGGGGCGGTGGGTACCTGGGCTGGTGGAATGGGTTTGGGGTGCTGGGGCGTGGGTCCGGTGGTTGCCGGGGGCTATGGTATGTGGTGCTAGGTGGTGGTCATTGGATGAAGTGTTGTAGCGGCGGTAATTGGGCAGTGCCGATGACGGTGACACTGTGGCCTGCGGCGGTGTCATTGTGGTCGGCGGCAGCAGTGACACGAGCGATGATGGAAGAAGTGATACGAGCTATGGCGGAAGAACTGACATAGACGATAGCAGCAGTGACATCTGACATGAAAATGGGGTAGTGACATGAATATTTGGTTGTCGCTTTATTTTAGTCACATTTTTGTCCAAATGTAAAAGTGGTCAAACTTGTGAAAATCAGCTTTAATTTATTAAAATTAAGTGAATAACTCCTTGTTTATTCATAATACTTGTTACAATATTGTGAAATAAGCAACTAAGATGATACTTCTAACTCTCTACATATGTACCTGGCGTAATCATTGGTATATATGTGTAATGTGTGTGTTATAATTTTTGTATACTCACTACACTAATAAATGACTTATTAAAACTTCATTCTTGTATTATATTACAGTACTAAACAACTTGCCAACAAGTTAATTTGATATGGCCGACGGTGATTTTTTTAGGAACACAGAAGTATTAGATTTTTCAACAATTCTCGATCCAACAGCTTTTGTAAACTCTATCAAGTACTACTCCGCCAATTTGGGACACATAAGTATTAGATCCAATTCTCGATCCACCAGGTTTGCCAATTTTTTTTGGAACACAGAAGTATTAGATGTAACCTTGAGCCCTTTTAAATACTCCGTATTGTATTTTGAAGCTTTAGAAAACGCTATTTGTAGATAGTTATGAGTAGTAATAATGCTTTGATTTATATTAGATGGTGAAATGCATTCTCTGTTTTCGAAAATGGGTTCCGTATTTACTATTAGTAGTAAACAACTTCTTTATTTCATATTCAAGAAGTGTATACGACTCCTTTTACCATGAGTGTTTTAAATCTTGTATTTTGAAGCTTTAGAAAATGCTATTTGTAGATAGTTATGAGTAGTAATAATGCTTTGATTTATATTAGTTGGTGGAATGCATTCTCTGTTTTCGAAAAATGGGCTTCGTATTCAAGAATGTGTTTTTTCAGAATGTGTAAACAACTTCTTTATTTCACACTCCGTATTCAAGAATGTGTTTTTTTTTCAGAACGTTTGAAAGCTCAATTGGTTCATTTTCAAAACTCACAAGGCAGTAGACTATTACGTAATATAGGGAGGGAGAGGTCAATAAAAAAAAGTGCAGCAACAATTACAGGTAACTAATTCAATGACCATAATCGTTGCCTAAAAACTAGAAGACGCATTTGTCCATATTTGCTAGCCTTGACACAGTGACACAACTAGCAAAAAAACATTGTACATTTCGATTTTTTTACCAGCCACTGCCGGTGCCATTGTTTCCAGACCATCCACCGCCACCTGCTTGTGAGTCGAGGGTATCTTTATTGCTGCCGCCCCAGCCAGAAACATCGGAACCACCATTGCCTACATCACCGCCCCAACCACCACCTCCCCCTCCACCACTGTTGCTGCTCCAGCCAACTCCTCCGACATCAGATGCACTCCCTCCTCCCCATCCTCCACTTCCACCTCCATTATCACCACCATCTTTGGAACCACCCCATCTATGGGAGCCAAAATCTGAATCCTGTCCGTCATTGTTTCCTCTGTTATTATCATAAGATCCTCGGCCACGGCCTCGGCCTCTTCCTCGCCCATCGTAAGGTCTTGGAGGCAATCCATCCTGACCACCCCCATTCCTATCACCCCGACCTCCATGTCGATAACCACCACCCCTCTCGTCAGTTGATGAATCACCACCCCAGCCACCGCCATTGGCAGGGCTTCGTATAGGGACCATTGCAGCAACTGATCGTATTGATGGTGCAGAGTCTGGTGGATCATTAATATGTCTTTGAAAGTATGGCACAAGACGGTCGATATCCTCAAACATTATCTTTCTGAACTTGAACCCCTTGGGATACATACCCACATATTCATGGTGTGGGTTGGAACTTCTAATATAAGTGAGAATGAAAGTGCCTGGATGTTCGTGAGATATACCAAAAGAATAGACAGTCCTCATTGGTTTCTCAGATTTTTCAATGCGTAGTAGTTCATCAACTTCTGCTTTAGTGCCCTTCCTAAACTTCCGGTAGTTCAGCATTGCCTTCAGATGAACAACCAATGGATCAACGTAACGGTCCATTACCTCGTCTAAATCCTCAAATGTGTCATCCCCAATTTTCAGAGTCTTCCCTATGCAGAGCAGGCTTGTAATATCCTTGTGTTCCTTTCCACCTTCCACTATATCCTTGTGAGCATAAACGCCGTCTTAAACTTTGAGTGTTAAAGTTAAGAAATAGGGACCACGGGAGCTAGGGCGTATGATACTTTCACCAGGTTCTTTGGCAGATAGAAACTCCATTGCTTGATCTGCTGTTATGTTTTGAAAACGCGGATGAACAATCATCCTTAGCTTAAAATGCTTCTTTGTGAGCTCCTTCTCTTTGCGAGCTTTTTCTTGTATATTCTCTAAGCTGCTGTGATTTTCACAGTAGAAATCACTCACGTACTTATTATTAAGGAAGCGGTTACCTCTCATATCATTCTCTTTGCAACTCAGAAACACCTGGTATCTCATCTTTTGGATTGACTTGATTCTACATGTCAATGCTTCACCTGCATGCAACTTTTCTTTCAAGTCATCTATATCCTTCCAAGCATCCGGCGAATCTTCCTTCATGAGTATGCCAGTCAAACCATTTTCAAGGGAACATATAGCTTTCTGAGGTTGGACCCTGCGAATAGTTGCTTGTACTGTTATTCCTTCGAACAATGTTTCCTCGGTCTCCCCACAAATCATGTAAAACTCATCATCTTGGCTGGGCTGCTGATATGGTTTTCCCTAATCCTGGAATCCTTGCATCAGCTCAAGTCTTATATCATTCAGGGTTTCCTTTTTATTAACTCTCTGCTTAGCATCTGCATATTTATAAGGATCAACACTTCTTAGTAATTTGGGATTCTCCCTTACATGCTCAATAGCCGCTTCCAGCACTTCATCATCATCAGCTTTATCTTCGCCAATATCTTTAAGATACACATCTTTGGCCTATTCATGTGCAAGACTGTACGATTCTGGATGTATCCTTGTATCATCCAGCAAGTCAATATATGTATTACTGTTACACGCATAACCACTTCGCCGGACTCAGAAAACCAGCTGCGTTGATGAACACCTTCTTACCAAGGTACTGTTCTGTCAACAGGTCCTTTCTGATGAACATCGTTTGTTGTCTGACCAAAGATCTTTGAAGTGAGGCTGCCTTTCAGGGTCCAAGCCAGATACAAATTGAAGAGGACCAAATAACCACTCATGACTTATAGCCAAATTAAGATCTAGACCAACTTGGTTAGTAGCATCGACCATGATTTGTTCAACCATACCATACTTCTCATCAGGAGTGAGAAAGTTTTCCATTGAACTCAGCTTCCAGGATAGGATCTCCCTCCCCGACCCACAAAGCGAAGCAACCATTGCTAAAGGGTTTTGACGGTAACGCCCAAGTGCCACGGCGCGCCTCACAATACCAGGCTGAGCAGGAAGCTGGTCGGAAGAAATTCGTGAGTTCTCATAGAGATGGGGAAGGGACTCATCTCCGTACACAATGTTTAAATTATCCATCTCCTGACCAACTTCTCTCGGATTATCCTCAACCATCTTAAAAATAATCTCATAAATATCCTCCTTCAGACGTGTACAAGACAAATTTACAGCTCCTAAAACAACCACGTGAGGTTGGTGATCTAGCATAAACTTTAAAAGCCTTTGCTGATCATTCTTCTTTCTCTGCTCATCATTAACATTCATACCACGAAGGCTGAGACACCCTGCATACAAGATCTCTAAAACTTCTCCAGACGAATCCAACATCACAAATGTGGTTGCTGGCTTTCCAGGGCTCCAACAGCATGCCATAACCCTTGGCGGTGTATCCTCATCTGAGCTACCACCGTTTTCTCTTACCTGATATGGACCAACAGATACTTTGTTCCATAAAAGCTCACCGTATTCTGAAAGTAGCCAATTCTTTGCTCTGCTTGACAACATCAAACGTGCTTCTTTAACCATTGATGGTAAAAGCATATTGTGGATTGCATCTTCAAATATCAACTTCCTTTGTTCATTCCACAGTTGAGCAGATTTACTAACACATTCACTAAGGTAATTTTCACTGGCTTCTGAACAAAGCTTATCAAGGGGGGAAACTGGCAGCTTTATAGTAACTTGCAAGAGCTTCTCCTCTTCAGCCTTCTGTATGAGAAGCCATTCTGCATCATCAAATTTTGAAAGTGGCTTGTCCTTGAGCCACTTCACCCTTGCAAACTGATGAAAAAGATCAATAGCTGTATTCCCTTCCGGAGTAGGGGATGTAGATACTACAGCATCCATCATATACACAGAACGGACATATTTCCGGACACTGGGTTCACACTTAATCTCAACTGCTGCCATGTGCCTAGCACCCTTGAGAACTTCTTGTGGTGATTGTAACATCCTACAGGTGAAGTTTGAAGCCATCTCTTCTGGTGTTTCCTTAGGGTCTTCCAACTCATCCATTCTATTTTTTTTCCAGAGATATCAGCAGCCCGAATTGCTCAGAGTTGTAACCAAACTTATTTGCAACTTCCCACAACCCAGCCTTGCTGTAATAGCTATAGTCTGATTTCCTTGCTGGCCTCTTAAATTGACCTTCATCTACACCAATTTCACCAGGTGGAAAGTGTAGGTTAAACTTTAAATCAACATCATCAACTTCTCTAAGTGATTTGGATATCGATTCAAAAAGCTGTTTGTTCAGATACAGCCTTGTTTCATCATACACCCCGCGTGACTCCTCTTCAATGCGTTTGCTATAATATGACTGGAGGGCAGTCTTTCACTTTTGAAGAAGAAGCCACTTTCTGTCTAAATCCATAATTCCCCAAAGCACCTTGTGAAACTTCAGCACTGGTTTTTTGTCGAAGGCATTCTCAAAATCACCGACTTCACCCTGGTCTGGATCCTTCAGCAAGGTCATGCATTCCTCCTTCCGATACATAGCGATAAATGGCAGGTCCAATTTCTGAACATGCATTAGATCCAAAAATCTCATAATATCATCCTTGTTGATTGGAAGCTCATTTGCTTCTTCACTTGACCCTGTGGCCCTCTTGTTGAAAGGGGATACAAAGCGAAGTTGGTTATGAGAAACAACCCCTTTTACCACGAGTGTTTTATGGCCTATTTGGATTGAGTGTCAGGGAGTGTTAGTAATGGAAATGTTAGTAAGTGTTAGTAAGGGCCCAGAAGGGAAGAGAAGTGTAAGTGTTAGACATAATTTTACCCTATTTGGGAGAGTCAAATGAATGAAGTGTTAATAATGGAAGTGTTAATAATTTTACCTTTAGCTAGAAGAAACGAGTAAGGAGAAGAGATGAAAAAGGCAGACCATAAGACCTGCGGCAAAGAGATTCAAAGTGAGATGTCGAAGCATTTTATGTTTTTAGGGTAAATGAGAAGAGTAATAATTGTCTAACACTTCAAAACACTCCAAATCCGGGTGTTAAAAAAATGGGCAATTGAGGTGTTGGGAAGGTTATTATTAACACTTCTAACCTTTACTAACACTTCTTAACACCTCTTAATGTTTCTCTCAAACAAATGTTAGTATCAACACCTACTAACACTTTCATTACTAACACTCCCTAACACTCAATCCAAATAGGCCATTAATGTCTATAAAATAGGCCATTAATCTCCCGTCCCTCTCCCTTCTTTCTTTCCTCTTTACTCAATCCCTTTTAAAATTCTCAAATTAAAAATATGGGATGATCATCTTATCTTCTTCATCCTCCTCTTTCCTTCTTCATCTTCTTTTTCTCTACCTTTTATATCAATTTTTCTCATTATTTGCACAAAATCAGCTTATTCATCTATTTTTATTATTTTTGTAAATTTTTTTCTTCAAATTTTATATAAATTGATTACATATACAACTACATCATTCATTTGGATGTATATAAACGATTACAATTTTTGTTCACCCAGACATTTTAAATTGATTACATCGACAACTACGATTGATTACACAGACAATTAATTGTCTGTGAGCTGCACGACTATTGTCTGTGCGGTAAAAATTGTATGTGCACACAGACAAATAATTATTTGTGCAACATGAAAATATTGTCTGTGCACACAGTCAATGCACACATATAGATTGATTTGCAAGCCGGTGTCAGTGTCAAACAACTGTCAGTGTACTTTTTTATACGAAAATTAATGTCCGTGGACATAGACAAAAGTTGTTTGTGCTCCCAGACAACTCCGTATCAATTGTCTATGATCGGACATTTTGTGTACAAGTTATGTACAAGTTGTGTACAACTTGTTTACCGCTAGCATTTTTGTTTCGAAAATGGGTTTGCATTAGTTTGATGAAACAATGACAAAAATAATTCCTAAGGTTTTGATGGAACAAAATATGACCAATTTTAAACTTGACAAAAAAGTGAGTTAACATCCGCATCTCTCTTTATTCGACATTTCTGCTCTGCATTCGTTCTCCTTCGCCGATGCAGAACAAGCTACCAACTTCGTCCTCCTTCGCCGACACCTTCTCTCCCCATCAACAAATCGAACGCGGCTGGGAAGAAGGATCGATCGATCTCCATCGCTCCTCCACCGTCGAAACCACAACAAGGATCGATCGATCTCCATCGCTCCTCCGCTCCATTATCGAACTCACAGTCAGAAACCTACGCCTTCAGCAGTCTCCATCTGCCTACCCCTCTATGCTCGCCGGTCATCGTCGCCTTGTCCAATCCAACGCCGATTTCTATTCCTTATGTTTCTTCTGCGTTCGGTGATGGCGGCCCGCTAAATCTGGACGGCTAGAGTTTCAGGTGTTGCTGCAGCGGTTGGGGAAGGGGCTAGGGTTGGGAAGGTGGGCTGAATAGGTAGTTGGCCGTTGTGAAGGGTGCTGGGGATGGGGCAGTGACATGGGAGGGGAGAGACTGCGCTAGCCGGGGAGGGTGCAGGCAGGGGCGGTGGGCACCTAGGCTCGTGGAATGGGTTTGGGGTGCTGGGGCGTGGGGCCGGTGGTTGCCGGGGGCTATGGCATGTGGAGCTAGGCGGTGGTCACTGGTTGAAGTGGTGCAGCAGCGGTAATTGGGCAGTGCCAACGACAGTGTCACTGTGGCCTTCGGCGGTGTCACTGTGGTGGTGTCACTATAAAGGTGTCACTGTGGTCGGCGGCAACAGTGACATGAACGATGATGGAATAAGTGATACGAGCTATGGCGGAAGCAATGACACAGACGATAGCAGCGGTGACATCCGACAGTGACATGAAAATGAGGTAGTGACATGAATATTTGGTTGTCACCTTATTTAGGCACATTTTTGTCCAAATGTAAAAGTGGTCACACTTGTTAAAATCAGGCTTAATTTATTAAAATTAAGAGAATAACTCTTTGTTTATTCATTTAAATGTTCTTTTTTTTATTTTTTAATCATATTTTTTAAATATGCATATGTAAGGGGATTTCTTCTTATTGATCGAGATGTTTGAAACATATGTCTCATTTGCATAAAAAACACTATCTCTAGCTAAAAAAACTTTGTCATTTCAAAACATTGAATCATGAATTTGATTAGTATAGTATTATCAAAGTAATAAATTCTATACTTTTATTATGAAAGTACTTTTAAGAAAGAAGATTTTAATATATTTTTTTATATTATAAATATTTTCCAATAAAATGATATAGGTTGTCAAAGTTTGAAAACGGCAAAGTTTATTGGGACGGAATTAGTATTGGTAACACTATTTACAATATTGTGAAATAAGCAACTAAGATGATACTTATAGCTCTCTACATATGTACCTGGCGTAATCATTGGTATATATGTGTAATTAGGGCTGGATTCGGTTCGGGACCTGAACCGATTCAGTATATACCCGAACCGAACCGATAATTCGGTTTACCAAATTATTAAAACCGAAACCGAACCGTTTTAAGAACGGATACCGATTTTTGGTGCCCGATTTTTTCGGTTCGGTTTACCGGAAACCGAAGAAAACCGACCTAATTGAAAGAAAAAAATTTGAACTAATATTTAATAGAATAAAACCCATTGGAACTTGTCAATATATGAGCCTCATTAGCCCAATGAAAGCTCATAACGTATCTTGGCCTTGTATACTAAGGGGACGTAGCTTATATTGAAGTTTTTGGAGTGGGGAGCTACTCAATTTCCGGTGTGGGATAAAATAGAATAGGAAAGAAGCCAAATTCTAAAAAAACAAAATTTTAGCACATAGGTGGGATTATAACCTGCGACGTTTCCTGGAAGGAATAACGCTTGCAGACCAACTCGGCTACACGTCAAGTCTGTGAGAAACATATGCGGTTTGATATTATACCTTAGTAAACATCATTAATTATTATTATTATAAATAACAATTATTACTAGTTATATAAAAATGTCAGTTCGGTTCGGTCCGAACCGATATTTTGTAAACATAAACCGAAACGATTTATTTTCGGGTCTCGATTATTGGGTCCCAATTTCGTTCGGTTCGGTCCGGTTCGGTTTTTTTCTAAAGCGGTTCGGTTATTTTCGGTTTGGTTTTCGGTTTTTCGGTTCAAAATGTCAGCCCTATATGTAATGTGTGTGTTATAATTTTTGTATACTCACTACACTAATAAATGACTGATTAAAACTTCATTCTTGTATTATATAGACTAAACAACTTGCCAACAAGTTAATTTGATATGACCAATGGTGATTTTTTTGGAACACACAAGTATTAGATTTTTCAATAATTCCCAATCCAACAACTTTTGTAAACTCTATCAATGAGTTACGCATGAGGTTCGGTAACTCATTAGGAGACATACTTGTTGTCGAACCACTCAGTGAAAACGAAAAGAAAAAAAATTCCGTTTAACTTTATGATACGCGGATAAGAGTTACTGGTTGCCATAAAAGAAGTGATCTATATGTGATTGGATTTAAGACTGGGGATGGTTGTATTGAATTGCAAGAAAACAATAATAAAAAGTAAGTAGTTGTCAACAATGATAAATCTAAGCACGGATTATGCTAACCTAAGATTTGCGTCTGCTGATAAAAGGACTCTTTTAGGAGGATCTGAAATGTTAGATAAGTCATTTAGCTTTCTGAAGGGGGTAAAGACATCTGAAATAAATTCAAAAAATTGCAAGGTTTGGCACGAGAGTTACTAACGCTCATCATCACTATTTATTAATCACTCAGATTCAACCACATTTTACACTTTGTATCAGATTTTTTCGGAGAGGAATGTTCTGAGGCAGCTCCAGACTGAATCCTTGATTTGGTGAATCAATGGAGAACACTATCCAAATATGTCTTAAAGTATAAAGATTCAGGAGAGAAAAAGTTGCGGAACTAGAGAAATTTCCTATTGAGTTTTATGATTGGAACAAGAAAACAAAAGTAAAGTTAACCAAAGTGAAACACATCAAGTCTGCAATGGGTCTAATAAAACGCCCAAGATTTAAAATAGGGGAGTCATCAAGAGGAAATCATTAAATATGTAAGATCTATGTATTTTTAGTCTTTCTTTTATTCACATACTTTCTTTTAGTCTTGGTATATAAAATTGGGACGAAGGTAGCATGTGAATAAAAGAAAGACTAAAAATATTTAGAACTTACATATTTAATGATTTCCTTTTGATGACTCCTCTGTTTCAAATCTTGGGCGCTTTATTAGACCCATTGCAGACTTGATGTGTTTCACTTTAGTTAACTTTACTTTTTTTTCTTGTTACAATCATAAACCTCAATAGGAAATTTTTAGTTCCGCAACTTTTTCTCTCTCCTGAATCTTTATACATTAAAACATATTTGGATAGTGTTCCCCATTGATTCACCAAACCAAGGATCCACTCTCGAGCTGTTTTGGAACATACCTCTCCGAAAAAATCTGATACGAAGTGTAAAATGTGGTTGAATCTGAGTGATTCAGATATAGTGATGATGAGCTTTAATAACTCTCGTGCCACACCTTTCAATTTCATTGAGTTTATTTCAGATGTCTTTACACCCTTTAGAAAGCTCAACGACATAGCTAACATTTTAGGTCCTCCTAAAAGAGTCCTTTTATCGGCAGACGCAAATCTAAGGCTAGCATAATCCATACTTAGATTTAGGAATGTTGACCCCTTAATTTCTTGCTTCTTAGGATTGTTTTCTTGCAATTCAAGCCAACCATCCCTAGTCTTAAATCCAATCACATATAGATCACTTCTTCTTATGGCAACCTGTAACTCGGTATCCGCGTATCTTAAAGTTAAACGGAATATTTTAATCTTTTCTTTTTGACTAAGTGGTTCGACAACAAGTATGTCTCCTCATGGGGTATCATACCTCATGCGTAACTCATTGATAAAGTTTACAAAAGCCGTTAGATCGGGAATTCTTGAAAAATCTAATACTTGTGTATTCAAAAAAAATCACCGTTGACCATATCAAATTAACTTGTTGACAAGTTATTTAGTCTACGACTGTAATATAATACAAGAATTAAGTTTTAATCAGTCTTTTATTAGTGTAGTGAGTATACAAAAATTATAACACATATTACACACATATACCAATGATTACGCCAGGTACATATGTAGAGTTATAAGTATCATCTTAGTTGCTTATTTCACAGTATTGTAACAAGTATTACTAATATTACCTCCGTCCCAATAAACTTTGCCGTTTTCAAAACTTTGACCAACTATATATTTTTATTAGAAAATATTTATAATACAAAATATTATATTAAAATGTTATTTCTGAAAAGTACTTTTATAATAAAAGTATAAAATTTATTACTTTCATAATACTATACTAATCAAATTCATGGTTCAATGTTTTTGAAATGACAAAGTTTTTTGAGATAGAGGTAGTATTTTTTATGCAAATGAGACATATGGTTCAAACATCTCGATCAATAAGAAGGAATCCTCTTACATATGCATATTCAAAAAATATGATTAAAAAATAAAAAGAAAGAACATTTAAATGAATAAACAAGGAGTTATTTTCTTAATTTTAATAAATTAAGGTTGATTTTCACAAGTGTGACCACTTTTACATTTGGACAAAAATGTGACTAAAATAAAGTTACAACCAAATATTCATGTCGATAACCGCCACCCCTCTTGTCAGTTGATGAATCACCACCCCAGCCACCGCCATTGGTAGGGCTTCGCATAGGGACCATTGCAGCAACTGATCGTATTGATGGCGCAGAGTCTGGTGGATCATTAATATGTCTTTGAAAGTATGCCACAAGACGGTCGATATCCTCAAACATTCTCTTTCTGAACTTGAACCCCTTGGGATACATACCCACATATTCATGGTGTGGGTTGGAACTTCTAATATAAGTGAGAATGAAAGTGCCTGGATGTTCGTGAGATATACCAAAAGAATAGACAATCCTCATTGCTTTCTCAGATTTTTCAATGCGTAGTTCATCAACTTCTGCTTTAGTGCCCTTCCTAAACTTCTGGTAGTTCAGCATTGCCTTCAGATGAGCAAGTAGTTCATCAACTTCTGCTTTAGTGCCCTTCCTAAACTTCCGGTAGTTCATCATTGCCTTCAGATTCGCAACCAATGGATCAACGTAACGGTCCATTACCTCGTCTAAATCCTCAAATGTGTCATCCCCAATTTTGAGAGTCTTCCCTATGCAGAGCAGGCTTGTAATATCCTTGTGTTCCTTTCCACCTTCCACTATATCTTTGTGAGCATAAACGCCGTCATAAACTTTGAGTGTTAAAGTTAAGAAATAGGGAAGATAGGGCGTATGATACTTTCACCAGGTTCTTTGGCAGATAGAAACTCCATTGCTTGATCTGCTGTTATGTTTTAAAAACGCGGATGAACAATCATCCTTAGCTTAAAATGCTTCTTTGTGAGCTCCTTCTCTTTGCGAGCTTTTTCTTGTATATTCTCTAAGCTGCTGTGATTTTCACAGTAGAAATCACTCACGTACTTATTATTAAGGAAGCGGTTACCTCTCATATCATTCTCTTTGCAACTCAGAAACACCTGGTATCTCATCTTTTGGATTGACTTGATTCTACATGTCAATGCTTCGCCTGCATGCAACTTTTCTGTCAAGTCATCTATATCCTTCCAAGCATCCGGCGAGTCTTCCTTCATGAGTATGCCAGTCAAACCATTTTCAAGGGAACATATAGCTTTCTGAGGTTGGACCCTGCGAATAGTTGCTTGTACTGTTATTCCTTCGAACAATGTTTCCTCGGTCTCCCCACAAATCATGTAAAACTCATCATCTTGGTTGGGCTGCTGATATGGTTTTCGCTAATCCTGGAATCCTTGCATCAGCTCAAGTCTTATATCATTCAGGGTTTCCTTTTTATTAACTCTCTGCTTAGCATCTGCATATTTATAAGGATCAACACTTCTTAGTAATTTGGGATTCTCCCTTACATGCTCAAAAGCCGCTTCCAGCACTTCATCATCATCAGCTTTATCTTCGCCAATATCTTTAAGATACACATCTTTGGCCAATTCATGTGCAAGACTGTACGATTCTGGATGTATCCTTGTATCATCCAGCAAGTCAATATATGTATTACTGTTACACGCATAACCACTTCGCCGGACTCTCAGAAAACCAGCTGCGTTGATGAACACCTTCTTACCAAGGCACTGTTCTGTCAACAGGTCCTTTCTGGGTCCAAGCCCAGATACAAATTGAAGAGGAGCAAATAACCACTCATGACTTATAGCCAAATTAAGATCTAGACCAACTTGGTGAGTAGCATCGACCATGATTTGTTCAACCATACCATACTTCTCATCAGGTGTGAGAAAGTTTTCCATTGAACTCAGCTTCCATGATTGGATCTCCCTCCCCGACCCACAAAGCGAAGCAACCATTGCTAAAGGGTTTTGACGGTAACGCCCAAGAGCCACGGCGCGCCTCACAATACCAGGCTGAGCAGGAAGCTGGTCGGAAGAAATTCGTGAGTTCTCATAGAGATGGGGAAGGGACTCATCTCCATACACAATGTTTAAATTATCCATCTCCTGACCAACTTCTCTCGGATTATCCTCAACCATCTTAAAAATAATCTCATAAATATCCTCCTTCAGACGTGTACAAGACAAATTTACAGCTCCTAAAACAACCACGTGAGGTTGGTGATCTAGCATAAACTTTAAAAGCCTTTGCTGATCATTCTTCTTTCTCTGCTCATCATTAACATTCATACCACGAAGGCTGAGACACCCTGCATACAAGATCTCTAAAACTTCTCCAGACGAATCCAACATCACAAATGTGGTTGCTGGCTTTCCAGGGCTCCAACAGCATGCCATAACCCTTGGCGGTGTATCCTCATCTGAGCTACCACCGTTTTCTCTTACCTGATATGGACCAACAGATACTTTGTTCCATAAAAGCTCACCGTATTCTGAAAGTAGCCAATTCTTTGCTCTGCTTGACAACATCAAACGTGCTTCTTTAACCATTGATGGTAAAAGCATATTGTGGATTGCATCTTCAAATATCAACTTCCTTTGTTCATTCCACAGTTGAGCAGATTTACTAACACATTCACTAAGGTAATTTTCACTGGCTTCTGAACAAAGCTTATCAAGGGGGGAAACTGGCAGCTTTATACTTGCAAGAGCTTCTCCTCTTCAGCCTTCTGTATGAGAAGCCATTCTGCATCATCAAATTTTGAAAGTGGCTTGTCCTTGAGCCACTTCACCCTTGCAAACTGATGAAAAAGATCAATAGCTGTATTCCCTTCCGGAGTAGGGGATGTAGATACTACAGCATCCATCATATACACAGAACGGACATATTTCCGGACACTGGGTTCACACTTAATCTCAACTGCTGCCATGTGCCTAGCACCCTTGAGAACTTCTTGTGGTGATTGTAACATCCTACAGGTGAAGTTTGAAGCCATCTCTTCTGGTGTTTCCTTAGGGTCTTCCAACTCATCCATTCTATTTTTTTTCCAGAGATATCAGCAGCCCGAATTGCTCAGAGTTGTAACCAAACTTATTTGCAACTTCCCACAACCCAGCCTTGCTGTAATAGCTATAGTCTGATTTCCTTGCTGGCCTCTTAAATTGACCTTCATCTACACCAATTTCACCAGGTGGAAAGTGTAGGTTAAACTTTAAATCAACATCATCAACTTCTCTTTCTGACCCAGCTGCTTTAAGTGATTTGGATATCGATTCAAAAAGCTGTTTGTTCAGATACAGCCTTGTTTCATCATACACCCTGCGTGACTCCTCTTCAAAGCGTTTGCTATAATATGACTGGAGGGCAGTCTTTCGCTTTTGAAGAAGAAGCCACTTTCTGTCTAAATCCATAATTCCCCAAAGCACCTTGTGCCACTTCAGCACTGGTTTTTTGTCGAAGGCATTCTCAAAATAACCGACTTCACCCTGGTCTGGATCCTTCAGCAAGGTCATGCATTCCTCCTTCCGATACATAGCGATAAATGGCAGGTCCAATTTCTGATCATGCATTAGATCCAATAATCTCATAATATCATCCTTGTTGATTGGAAGCTCATTTCCTTCTTCACTTGACCCTGTGGCCCTCTTGTTGAAAGGGGATACAAAGGGAAGTTGGTTATGAGAAACAACTCCTTTTACCACGAGTGTTTTATGGCCTATTTGGATTGAGTGTCTACTAATGGAATTGTTAGTAAGTGTTAGTAAGGACTCAGAAGGGAAGGGAAGTGTAAGTGTTAGACATAATTTTACCTTGTTTGGGAGAGTCAAATGAATGAAGTGTTAATAATGGAAGTGTTAATAATTTTACCTTTAGCTAGAAGAAACGAGTAAGGAGAAGAGATGAAAAAGGCCGACCATAAGACCTGCAACAAAGAGATTCAAAGTGATGTCGAAGCATTTTATGTTTTTAGGGTAAATGAGAAGGGTAATAATTGTCTAACACTTCAAAACACTCCAAATCTAGGTGTTAAAAAAATGGGCAATTGAGGTGTTGGGAAGGTTATTAATAACACTTCCTAACCTTTACTAACACTTCTTAACACCTCTTAATTTTTCTCTCAAACAAGTGTTACTATCAACACCTACTTACACTTCCATTACTAACACTCCCTAACACTCAATCCAAATAGGCCATTAATGTCTATAAAATAGGCCATTAATCTCCCGTCCCTCTCCCTTCTTTCTTTCCTCTTTACTCAATCCCTTTTAAAATTCTCAAATAAAAAATATGGGATGACATCTTATCTTCTTCATCCTCCTCTTTCCTTCTTCATCTTCTTTTTCTCTATCTTTGATATCAATTTTTTCTCATTATTTGCACAAAATCAGCTTATTCATCTATTTTTATTATTTTTCTATTTTTTTTTCAAATTACATATAAATTGATTACATATACAACTACATCATTCATTTGGATGTATATAAACAATTACAATTTTTGTTCACCCAGACATTTTAAATTGATTACATCGACAACTACGATTGATTACACAGACAATTATTGTCTGTGAGCTGCACGACTATTGTCTGTGCGGTAAATATTGTCTGTGCACACAGACAAATAATTATTTGTGCAACATGAAAATATTGTCTGTGCATACAGTCACTGCACAAATATAGATTGATTTGCAAGCTGGTGTCAGTGTCAAACAACTGTCAGTGTACTTTTTTATACGAAAATTAATGTCCGTGGACACAAACAAAAGTTGTTTGTGCTCCCAGACAACTCCGTATCAATTGTCTATGATCGGACATTTTGTGTACAAGTTGTGTACAAGTTGTGTACAACTTGTTTACCGCTAGCATTTTTGTTTCGAAAATGGGTTTGCATTAGTTTGATGAAACAATGACAAAAATAACTCCTAAGGTTTTGATGGACCAAAATATGACCAATTTTAAACTTGACAAAAAAGTGAGTTAACACCCGCATATCTCTTTATTCGACATTTCTGCTCTGCATTCGTTCTCCTTTGCCGATGCAGAACAAGCTACCAACTTCGTCCTCCTTCGCCGACACCTTCTCTCCCCATCAACAAATCGAACGCGGCTGGGAAGAAGGATCGATCGATCTCCATCGCTCCTCCACCGTCGAAACCACAGCAAGGATCGATTGATCTCCATCGCTCCATCGCTCCATCATCGAACTCACAGTCGGAAACCTACGCCTTCAGCAGTCTCCATCTGCCTACCCCTCTCTGCTCGCCGGTCATCGTCGCCTTGTCCAATCCAACACTGATTTCTATTCCTTATGTTTCTTCTGCGTTCGGTGATGGCGGCCCGCTAAATCTGGACGGCTAGGGTTTCGGGTGTTGCTGCAGCGGTTGGGGAAGGGGCTAGGGTTGGGAAGTTGGGCTGAATAGGTAGTTGGCCATCGTGAAGGGTGCTGGGGATGGGGCAGTGACATGGGAGGGGAGAGACTGCGCTAGCCAGGGAGGGTGCAAGCAGGGGCGGTGGGCAC